GTGGGCAGGAAGAGCACGCACATCACTGAGCCCTGCCCTTCCCCTTCAAGACCTTCAGGAGGTGAGCCTCGCCGATGGCACGGAGCCGGGCCCCGTCGCTCTGGAGAGCTCCACTGCGCAGCAGATCATGCAGCTGCTGTGCGAGCTGCAGAGCCCCCAGGAGTTCCCGGGCCTGAGCAGAAACCCCTGCATCCCCTTCTTCTACCGGGCCGACAGCGACGCCGGTGTGAAGATCATGGTCATCTGATAATTGGACACTACCCTGGAGCCGTGGGCCGGGCGCTGCCCCACCTCCTCCTGCCACCCTTCCCTCCCTCCTACTACTATTATAATACAAGAATAGACTTATTTATTGATCACACAGGACAGAGGAAGGAGGCGGGGATGGGGTTGATTCGACTCTATTTGTTTTATTTCGGAATAAATGGATTTAGCCATACAGCCTGGCCTGTTTCTGTTCCCGGTCACTGGCTCCGGGTTCTGCCCTGAGCACTGAACAGGAAGTGGGGCCTGCCATGTGGAGCCCCCCAGCGACTGAGCACGTCCAGTGGGGATGTTAGAGATGTGGGCCTGCCAACTGTGTGCTGCTTGGTGAAGCCTGGGGGACCCCTAGGGGTTGCCCACAGGGCTCTGCAGGGCAGTCCTGCCTGATGGCCGGCAGACTCAGAGACTGACGTGACCTGGGCAGGGAGCAGGTGCCAGCATCGGGGGGAGCAGACTTCCAGGCTGGGCGGTTTCCATTCCATGACCCTGCCCTCTGGTGGCCTGTTCCGTCCCCCCACAGGGCACGCCCACAGCCATGTCCACGCCCATGCCCCACGCCCGCCTCCAGGCTGCTCGTGCTCCTGTCCCCTGGTGGTCAGAGCAGGATTCACAGGGTGAGGATCAGCTAACACCCAGGCGCTTTCGGGGCCTTGGAAAGGCTGGGCCCGTTCTACCATTCCTCACCGCACCCTAGCAAAGGCTGGCCTCCCCAACCCCTGCACCCCAATGTTTAAACCATCTCTCCCCGAGTGCCACAAAACACAAGCCAGCAGAGGACACATGGTTCCCCATCGTCCAGAAGCGGGTTTTATTCTCAGCCAAGAGACAGCAAGACCGGTGGTGGTCAGAGAACCACGCAGCTGCCAGTGCACAGCCCCACGCGCGGGGTGGGGGAGGGAGAGGGAGGGGGCAGCTGGCTGTCCACAGGCTGGGCGTGCCCGGAGCTCGTCCTCCTGCGAGGTGGCGCGCTCGGAGGAGGGTGTCAGGTGACAGTGCTCCCTTGTAGTTGGGCCACAGGACTCAGACAGCATGGTGATTCCCAGCACTAGGGGTGAGACTGGCAGCCATATATGTGTGCGTGTGTATATATATGTATACATATGAGTATTTATAGATATTTATAGGAAGGAGCAGGAGAGAGACCACAGGGGCACGAGTTTCACCAACGGCACGCTGGGTGTGTCAGCTCACCACTACAACAGACTAAGTCACAGATGAAGGGGGCGGCTCTGGGGCTGGGGAGCCACTGTCAAGTCCCGGAACAGCCGTCCAGGCAGGCTTGGAAAGAGGAGTCTCCGAGGAATGGAAGGGATCTGGTTAGAGGTCGAAGGGGGGCCTGGGGCTCTCAGGACGGGACGGACTTGCCTGACCCGATCGGCTGGCAGTTGGAGAGGAAGCAGAGAGAGAGAACAGGAGGGGAGGGAGAGAGCTGGTAAGGCAAGGGCCGCGGAGCCCGCAGGGGTGCGAGGGGAGGGCAGGGGAAGGAGATGCAGGCGAGGGTGTGGGCAAGGGCCCGACAGAGGAGAGGGGCAAGAACGGGAAGGTGGGAGGGAGGAGCCTGAGATGAGCGGGGTGGGGGTGG